TTGTTTTTTAATAATAATAATAATAATAATAATAATAATAATAAAAAAACTGTTATTATTTAATGATAATAAACAATTGTTCATAATAAAATAAATCGTTAATTAATTATTTTCTAATGATCAAATTTTTGAAAATGTAATATGTTCATTATCTAGAATTTTAATATTAAATTCTCAAATTTGTGCATGTGCAAAGGATATCTACTAGTATCTTCTTAACAAAGGGTGAGCAAAATCGAATCCAAATTAAAATTATCATTATATCTTCTTTATTTTCATATAAAAAGAAAATAAAAAAATCCAACGAAACCGAACTTTTTGGTTTGTCCGACTGGTTCGGTTTTTTTTTTCCCAATATTGTGGCGCGATTCAATTTTTATTTATTTATTTATTTTTTCATAAGTTGGGGTTTTGAATTTTGTGTCGTTCGAACCTTTCGCAACCTTCTCGTGATTTATACTAGCTAGGCCCAACAACTATTAAGCCTGGGTTTAAATTGAATGTACTTATTCTAAAAAAAAACATGAACTTGACGTTTTCTTTCGTTAGGCCCACTCAATAAGCCCTAAGGAAGTGGCCGACGTGTACAGAGGGAGAACCCTTATCTGGCCTAGTTTAGAATGGACCTAGCCGTTAGTCATATAACACGTGGGCCGGTTTAGGTTGTAATTTGGGCTCGTCTATTAAATTTTTAGAAATTTTTCAGAACTGTTGCCGAGTCCAATACAAGAATCCAGTCAAAAAAAAAAAAAAAAAAAAAAAAAAAAAAAAAAAAAAAAAACTCAAATCACAAGAAAGAAAAAATATAATTAAATCTTAATTATTCCACCAACTCTAGTTATAAATGTACAATATTTAAATAAAGTTTTATAATATATATAATATTAAAATTATAAATTACATAATAAACATATTACAAATTTATCATTATTGAATCAACATTATAATATAAACAATTTAACTATCACTATTATTGATAGCATAAAATATAATAAAAAATGTAATTTTTGTAGTTTGAGGTATCATGATCAATAAATTAGGTAGAAAATTATTATTATTATTATTATTATTATTATTATTATTATTATTACTAATAATTTTGTTGATATTGTTGCTGCTGCAATTGTTTATATTGTTTATGTGATCTAAATTGGTGGCTATAATATTAAAATCAATTAGTCATATTCTAAACAAATTGCATTATGATAATAAAAATTGATTTTGTGATAATAGCTTTAATAAAAAAGGTTTTAAAATATACTTCTTTATCTTATATAATTTTCATATACCATTTAGTGAATTATAATTAGTTGATTTTTGTAATAGTTAATATATCATAGAAAAATTTATTAAATAAAATTATACTTAGTATATAATATAACAATTTTTTCATAATTAACTTTAAAATTTGCGGAAAACTATTTTCTTTTGAATTAATTGAATAGCCTGAAATCACAAAAACACACACTGTTGGTAAAAATATACTTACGACAATTATTTTGTTTTCCCGCTCTTTTCTGTTACATTTTGCATTAATTGATTAATTATATTTATTTTTTTTTGGTACAAGATTAATTATATTTTTATTTATCTTATTACATAATAACTACTATTAATTAATAATAAACCCATATTAAAAATATTATATTCTATTTAAATATTTTATTTTTTCATCTCACTAAGGAAGTCTTTTTATTAAAAAGTAGTTAATTATTTACAGACTAACTAAACCTTTTAAAATTCTGTACACAATTGTTATAAAATTTTAATATTATTTTATTATAATCAATATAAAAATTAATATGTACGTTAAACAGTTTATATTTGTGTCATTTTTTACTAATGATAAAATTCTTAAGGTGTGATATATATGCTCATGATTATACTTATGATATAACATATAAAAAATTATTTGAAAATGTACATGTGCACATAATCAAATACTAATTAAATAAATAAACTGAAAATTGAAGCATTCGATGAAATATATCCCAGAATGTACTGTTTATTTAGATGATCAACGAGTGCAAATAATCTATTCTGGTATAAAAACAATGGGCATATACACGCAGGGCGAAACTACATGTATCACTAGGGGAAAT